AGAATAAAATATTTCTGTTTATTTGTTTTTTATGTTCTTTATGTTTTTCAGGGCCATGTTTGAAGTAAACATGAAAGAGCGAGATGATGGAAGTGTTACCATTACTAATTTGTCCTCCAAAGCAGTAAAAGCTTTTCTTGATTATGCTTATACTGGAAAAACAAAAATAACAGATGATAATGTGGAAATGTTCTTCCAGTTGTCATCATTTCTTCAAGTTTCCTTCCTATCCAAAGCTTGCAGTGACTTTTTAATAAAAAGCATTAATCTTGTCAATTGTTTACATTTATTATCTATTTCAGATAGCTATGGCTGTACTCATTTGTTTGATCATGCATTGTACTTTGTACAGCATCATTTTTCTTTATTATTTAAATCTACTGATTTCTTAGAAATAAATTTTGGAGCACTACAAAAATGTCTGGAATCAGATGAATTAAATGTTCCAGAAGAAGAAATGGTACTGAAAGTTGTTCTTAGTTGGACTAAGCATAACTTAGAATCAAGGCAAAAGCATTTGCCACATTTGCTTGCAAAAGTAAGATTACATCAGTTATCTGAAGATACACTTCAAGACTGTCTGCTGAATGAAGAATGTTTACTCAAAAGCACAAATTGTTTTGACATAATCATGGATGCAATTAAGTGTGTACAAGGTTCTAGTGGACTTTTCCCAGATGCTCGACCATCCACAACTGAAAAATATATATTCATACATAAAACGGAGGAAAATGGAGAAAATCAGTATACATTTTGCTATAATATTAAAACTGATTCATGGAAAATATTACCACAGTCACACCTGATTGATTTGCCAGGGTCTAGTCTGTCTACTTACGGAGAGAAAATATTCCTGACAGGTGGTTGTAAAGGGAAGTGTTGTAGAAAGATTCGACTTCATATTGCTGAGACTTATCATGATGCTACTGATCAAACCTGGTGCTACTGTCCAGTCAAAAATGATTTCATTTTAGTATCAACTATGAAAACACCAAGAACAATGCATACATCAGTTATGGCTCTCAATAAATTATTTGTCATAGGTGGAAAGACTAGAGGATCTCAGGACATTAAAAGTCTCTTAGATGTTGAATCTTATAACCCTCTTTCCAAAGAATGGGTATCTGTTAGCCCTCTACCTAGGGGCATATATTATCCCGAAGCAAGTGCATGCCAAAATGTAATTTACGTTCTTGGATCAGAAGTAGAGATTACAGATGCCTTTAACCCATCACTTGATTGCTTCTTTAAATATAATGCTATAACTGATCAGTGGTCTGAACTAGTAGCAGAGTTTGGGCAATTTTTTCATGCTACACTAATTAAAGCTGTCCCAGTAAACTGTACACTGTATATATGTGATCTTTCCACCTATAAGGTATATAGTTTTTGTCCAGATACTTGTGTTTGGAAGGGTGAAGGATCTTTTGAGTGTGCAGGCTTTAATGCAGGCGCAATTGGAATTGAAGATAAGATTTATATCTTAGGTGGCGATTACGCACCAGATGAAATCACAGATGAAGTGCAGGTCTACCACAGTAGCAGGTCAGAGTGGGAAGAAGTTTCTCCAATGCCCAGAGCCTTAACTGAATTTTACTGTCAGGTTATTCAGTTCAATAAATACAGGGATCCATGGTTTTCTAATCATTTCTAAAAGTAATATATGCTTGGAGATTCTAAAACTATTCCAGTTCCTGCAACCTGCAATAAATGTGTTTACCATAATGATTGATGAAAAGGTCTATCTTAATAAAATAAAATCTTTCTGCTATTATAGAATTACTATGTATGTATGATATCTATGAATAACAGTTCCTGGAAACTTAAAATATAAAATACATTTTACCTAAAATTATATTAAATATAATCTTGAAAATCCAGACTACTTAGTATTTTCATGTTAAGTTCTTTATGAAAATCTTTTAAAAATGAAAGTTAACAGATTTGGACTATGTATACAGGGAAATCTCTTGAGGCAGTAAAAATTATATTATGTGACATGAAAGATAAAAGTTTTAATCTCATCTTGATTCTCAAGTTATAAGAATTATTGAATTTCTAACCTTTCTGATCACTGGTCAACTTCTTTTAAATACCCTTACCATTATCTTATCTCTTACCATTATTTTGGTCAAATTTTTTTCAAAAATGTATATGTGCTGCCAAAGCAAGCACAGAAATTTTTCAAAAATGCAGTATATTTCTCCACTTTTCTACACAGTGCACTAAATAAAATTTAGCTTTATTTATGATTCAACTCTTCATTAAGAGTATATTGTACAGCCACTGCCTGCTTCACAAATGCAAGGTCCTGAGTTTGATCCCCAGTACCAAAAAAAAAAAAGGATATTGTACAATAGTACTCCATTGGTAGTTACTTAAATCTTTAAAAATTGCTTATTCTATTGGTTTTCAGTGTCAGTTGATTTCAATGTTTAGTAGTACCATATCTCTCTTCTTTTCTGGTTCAGTTTTAGTAAATTAAAATTCTTCATGTACTCTGTAGCTTTAAATTACACCTCTCCTGAGTTTGTCTTAACATATAAGCCATTGAATGACATTCTTGGATTTGGAGATGAAGTCTTAAAATACTTTTCCCATATCAATGCCAGCTTCCAATGAAATTAGGTATAGAGAAAATTTTGGTCTCCACATTAGTGGGTCATTATTGTTCCATTTCTTAAACTTTACTGAAATCTGAGCTACAATAAGAAATTTCTGGATTTAATTTTTACCATGTAAGTTTTCTTTGATAACATATACCAACTATGAAGCACCATGTGGCTTACTACTTCAAGAAATTATTCATAGTGAATTATTTTCTAAATTTAAAGTATGACTAGGCTTTTGGTATTGGTAGTAATGTTCACAACCTGCATCTGCTTAGATGTTTTGTCTTCACCTCCAAAGTATCAATCTTCTTTGTTTTCAGCTAGATCTGCCTCACAAAAGGGTGTGTTTCTTTAAGCAATTTAAAAGATGTGGTATTTTAGGTTTTAAGATCCCTAATTTAATCTCAGGTAATGTGTAGATTGTATTTCTCTGGAACCAAATGTAGTTCACTGAGAAGTAAATGTTACTCAGTAAATGTAAAATGAAAATATACCTAAATGAAGGTCCTTTTACTTTACCATATACATTTTTGCAAACATAAGTTAAAATATATTTTTCAAAATTGAACAAAATATTAGAGTAAAATTTTTTGTAGTTCCAAAATCAGGGACTATCTCTAATTAGATGACAGCTATATAGTGTTCTATAGAATTTGTGGCCTTCCCCATGTAAGCACGTTTAGTGGACTGCCCTTTCCTCTATATGTGTGTTTAAGAAAAAAAAAGTAAGCATTTTAATAGACTATGTTTAAAATAAATATTATAATCACTGACTGGCAATTGTTCATCTCTTCCAGAAAAAACTAAAGCAAAATTGAATCCCTTCCTGATACTGTTTCATTATCATATCATCTTGATTTCCACCATTCATATCATTGACCATTGATTTATGGTAATGTCCTAGAAATATTCTTGTTGTTAAGACCTAGGTGGCTCCCTCTGCATTTCATTTAATACCTTTGCTAATACACTAAGTCCCTGACTTACAAACGAGTTCTGTACTAGAACATTCATAAGTCAGACACGTTCTTAAGTCCAACAAAGTGAGTCATATACCTTTGACACAAATGTAAGTTGTGTATTGGTTTGCACTTCTTAGCAGTCCATTCCACATTGCCACTGCTCTTCCTCTTGCTTCCAGACATCTTGGGCTCTGATTGAGCACTCCGATGGAGTGCTATTGCACTATACAGTAAGCACACAGCAGCACAACTATGACATGTCCAGCAGACATGTGAGCTACTTCCGAGACTTGCTTACATTTACAAATATTCATAATGTGAGGTCCATTTACGTGTGAAAGATCGCAACTTGAATGTTCATAAGTCAGGGACTTACTATACAGACTTTCTGCTGTAGTTGCTACAATTGCTATGAGTTACTTTTAAATTATTTTATCTTTTAATTACTGCCATCCCTTTATATCTGCAGCTTTGTGTTCTCCAGCTATCTCTGTGAGGGAAATACTCTGTCTCATCATACAGCTCCAAAATCTTTTGTTTAGTTTGTTTTTTCTCTGTCACCATAGCAATTGGTACCAGGCTTGGCTCCGCTGATATCCTCTCTAATTTTGTATCTCCTTGTAGAACTTTTATTTGGAAAATGGTTATGTCTTTAGAAGCCTGTAGGAACCAAACCACAAGTTGTCAGTGACTGTATTGGTTATACCTTGTAGTTTTGCCTATCACTGTGGCTTTGGTAAGAGCAATTATCATCCTGGCCTTACTCTTCATTCTTCATTTCTGTCACGCAAATCTCAGTGGTTCCTTGTCTATTCTAATTACCTCCAGAAGGAGCTATGTTTCCTGTCTCTAAATTTAGGTAAAAGAAAATAATATCTTTTTATGGCTTTTTCCCTTTGACTTTTTTTTAAAGTTTATTTTCCTTTTATTTTACTCTTCAGCCAGTGATACACTAAGAACAAGACAATTGTGCTTATTATCCAGATTGTTGTTGATTGTATAGAAGTTTTCTGTTTAATATTTCTAAATCCATTATTGTTTTGCTACACTACATTTGGATTATGCATACAAAAATGTTTGAATACTGTAATATCTTTTAAAATGAAAAGTAGGTGTATGACATTACTAAATATAAAAAGATTAAATTTAACATGAGATAATTTCAAAATTAATAGTTATTCCTAGAGCAATCTCCAAACTTGGGTTAAAATGTGGTACATTTTTTGTTCATTTTATAGCCATTGGGACTCAGTAGTGTGAAGGTTGTTTGCATAGTCAAAATTAACTAAATTCTCTTAAAATTTCACTGCAGTATAGAGAAAGAGGTCTTTATTACAGCAGTACATTATACTGTGGAAGCTAGATTACTTGAAAGCAATCTTATACTGAAATATGATTCCATTCTCCCAAATACTAAGAAGGGCCAGTGGATGTGTGTTCAGTGTGCTTAGCTACTTGAAAGTAAGGTAGGCTACTTGAAAATAAGATTTGAGCAGAGAGGGATGCATCTATTAATTTTTTTATATTTGGAAGTAAGAAATGTCATTATGTAATGATTTAATATGTAGTTTAAGATATGCTACTCCAATATCATAATTCTCAGTTTAATTGGAATGCAGTGCTTTGGAAAATTTTCGTGTGACAAATTATTGCCTGAATAATTTTCCACACAGGAGTGCATGATCAAAGATTATTAAATTGGATTTACACATTTTGGTCTCATTTTCTTCTATATGACTAATTACTTCTTCCAATTTATTTAACATTCCAATTTATTTAACATTTAATTTTGGTGGTTCTCCGTACTCAAGATTTTTCAATAGGACCTGAGTTTTAAAACTATCTTTTGACGAAGATTTTCATTGAAAGAAATTCTCTTTTTCTTTTTCTTTTCTTTATTTAATCACTCAGGAAACATCTATAAATGGTGCTGACATTTACGGTGAGTTGCTAACTGGAATTTTTCCTTCTATTTACCATAGCTGCATTTTTATAGTGAATAAAAATTTAAAGTCCAGTATATAAAATTTTCTCTGAATTATTATTCTGATATATCTAAAAAATGTATATAACCAAAGATACCTGGTTTGAGTTCAATATTATTTAACTTGAAAAATATCTTTTTATCTCAAAAATTTAAATATATGTATAATTATACTTGATGACTGATGTTTAATCAAATATAACTAGGGAATATAATCATTAGATGATACTATTACACATTTATCAAAAGATAACTTCTAAATCATAGATTCATGTTCAAATTTGAAAATAGCCTTGGAATCTAATGCAGCTTCTAACCTAGTGTAGAAAACCCCTCTAAATTATGAGACATCCTGAACATGCAATCTTTTTTCAGTTTTTCATTCAGTGCATTCAGGGGTAGAATCACTATCTTTATTTTTAAACACTTGTATTACAGAGTTCTTCCTAACATTGAAAATAACTCTGCCCACTGTAATTACTTCCAGCTGTTAGTCCTAGGTTGCTTGTTATTCAAATGTTTCAAACAGTACCTTGTCTCTCATTCCTCCAAAACAATGCCTCATTTTCCTTCTCCTTCAAGTGCTTAGCACCTAAACATCTCCTACAGTGGCTGGATTACATATTTTGTTCTTATTTAGTTGACTCACAAAAACTGGCCTAGCTCTGCCACTTAAGTGGATCAAACCTGAACAGTGTTGCAGAATCTGTTTCATATGTAGATGATTGCCTCTGTGTCATCTCATTCTCTCACCTATAAATCTCATCATCATCAGAGTCTTGCTGTGTCTCTCTTCTCCTACCTGCCCCTCTCTCATCAACATAATTACGAATGTATTTCTTAGGGAAGAATTTTGAAGCCAAATTTTAATATTTTTGTCATTGGATAAAGTTTTCAGAATTTTAAAAAACACTTCTAAAAATGACTCCAGAGAATATACAAAAAAAATAACTGAAATAATTACATCCTTGGTGGTTAATAACAGGACAACTTGCTAACACATCAATATTGACCAGCTTGTGGTAATAACTGTCTAAATTTTGAGGTTTATCTTTGCTTTTAGTCTAGTTGGAAAAACATGATATTTTTATAGTGTATACATCCACAGTTAACTCTATGAGCCAGGCAGATTTATTCATTTCATTTAACTTTGATAACATCCCCAACCATAAAGGCCTAACAGGCTCAACAAATTATGCTATTGGTCCTAAAACTAACAAGAAAATTCCTCTGTTAATGAGAATTTCATTATATAAATATTTCTTTACATGTCTTTCTTCCTCATTTAACTGAAAGCTCTTAGGAATAGGGACATAACTTCATCATTTTAGACCCAGAGCATAGTGCCTGTCACATAATAAGATGTTCAATAAACTAATTTTATATTGGACCAATGTTGGAAGCAAAATATATTTATTACAGTTGTATTATTACTGCATGGGTTTATCTGTACATTTTGTAACTTGTTGTGTACAAAAGAAATTGTTTTAATTTATGTTAGGATTTTACATTTTAGAATGTTACTACATTGTATTATAGTTACATATAAATGTATGTGTTAATTCTTTTTATAATATCTGGTATCTTGATTATGTTCAGGGTATGAGACAGTTGGTTTAGGTAGTTCATACAACTTCAGCTTTTTTTTTTAGTATATGGAAAAGTTAATTAGAAGCATTTTTCAAGAATGAAATTGCTTTACACAGTGCATTGCCAGTCTCTGGAGAGCATATATAGTTGAATGTATAGATGTATGTATATAGTTGGTTCTTGAAAATGAAATCATAGATGCAAAGTAATTTGTCTACCTAAGTTTTTAGTGCTTAGGGATTATTTGTTTTCCATGAATTTTAATTATAACTTAATTCTATGTTTCCTTTCAAAGGCAATAATGCATAAAACAATGACTGCAAGTTGAATTAGTGCACTTGCAACCTTCATTTTTCTAATAAATGCATATCTTCAGTGATATTTTTTCCACTTTGAGGGGGAGGGAGTGCCCAAAACTTCTTACCTTAAATATACGGGTAATTTATTTCATTTCTCTATTACTGGAATGTAGGCTTTTGCCATTGCTATGAGAAATAAAATCAGCATTTCTGAAGGTCCATATTAACCATGTTAACATGTAATAAAACATTTCAATCCTATAAAATAGTTATTAAGATATAAAATGTATTTAAGAAAAATATATATTGTCTGTATTTATTGTTATTAGAAATAAAACAAAAGAATGTGGATGTCAGGGCTTTCATTTTTTTTTGCCTCTTTCTGCATGTCTTAGGTATCCTGTGGGGCTCTGAGGGGGTCAGAACTACTGAGAGTTGGGGAGGTGACAGTGGATTGTTAGAAGAGGTTTCTGTAGTTGGGATATGTCTAGCGATGTAAATTTGAAGATCAGACAACCTTGTCTGAATGAATAGAGAAACAGCTAGTCTTCAGGTGAGTCATAGTTTGGGAGAAAGCTCCAGGCCCTGCTTGGGTTAACAACAACAACAACGACGACGACGACAACTAGTCCAAATGCCCGTGATCCACAGATGACAGCAGCAGAAACCAGCCAAATGTACAGGGCTAGGAACTGTCGAACTGTCGTATTGGCTAATAGACATAAAAACACCAGTCAGCTACCAGCATGTAAGCCTTCCTACCTCACATGCCATATACTAATGGAGTGGAGCCAGCGAAGGAGGCCAAAGCCTCCAGTCTAACATGAAAGAGATTTTTAAGTGTTTGCATTCAACATATCCTTACTTAATTTTAGTACTCTATTTGTAATTGTTCTTCACTCTGGCTAGAAACGTTTAGTATCATGTTTTCTTAATGTTATGAGCTATTGTTTACTAAATGACTTTGGCTGGCAAGTCCTTCTTCTGATTTTGACCCAGGTTGAAACAGAATTCTTTCTTGGAAACCCAATTCTTTTTTTTTTTTTTGGTACTGGGGATCAAACTCAGGTCCTTGTGCTTGTGAGGCAGGTGGCGGAACCACTGAGCTAAATCCCTGCCCGAAAACCCAATTGTTGAAACACAGACTCTGTCCCTATCTCCCAAGTGTGCATAAAACCAATTTTCTTCTGAAAATGTTTGAAGATGTCTAGTGCTACTCATTATTCCTTGATCTAAACTTCTCTATACTTATTTTCATTATTAGCTTCACTTTGCATGTACCTCTAGTTTTTTGAAATTTAGTTTTCCTTCAAACATTAATCAGTTCCCTTGTTTATAATCTCCCTAGACTGAAACCTTTAACAGAGTTTATTTAAATCTTAAGGCCATGGTAGGAAGTTGACCTGCCACAGGGTTGTTGGGATTACTCCCCTCAAAAAAGAAGTCTCTCTGTCAGCATTTTAATACTCACAGGCCCATGTGAGTGAAGCTTCCTTTTATATCCTAAACAGATTGGTTAACCATCACAGTCTGATGCATTGGCATTTAAAGTTCTTTCCCAAAATTTGGAACCAGCTTGAATTAGGCCATTCCTCTTATAGAAGAAAAGAACGAAGCCATTCGATGACATTTCAGTCTCCACTCTTACAAAAAATAAGTCATGAAAAGCATTTAAAGTAGCACTTTGTCCCTTTTCCAATCACTGAGAAATATATAAAATGAAGATACAGGATTTTACACAGTTACAATATAAATTACAAAATGGTTACTCAAAAACTTTATAACAGAATAACCATTATACATATTTTAGTTGATTTTTGTGTATATTTTCCTTAGAAAATAACTTAAAAAGTAATACTCTTTTCACTATTGATCCACAAAGTTTCAAAATGTTGAATGTTTTGTGGTTTTTGAAATGCCAAAAAATACTGAATTTTGAGGCAGTGTGATCTCTTACTGGTCTACATAATGAACATTGATTATTTAAACTGCAATTTTATTGTTAAATAATTATGTAAAATCCATTTTTCCAGGGTAAAATCACTTTGTACTTACTAAATTTTGTGATTTTAAAGATCTTTACAAAGCTTAGTAAGCCTAACTTATGATAGCTAACTTATAATAGCATTCATGAAAAATCTTAAATATTTGGGAGCTCTCTAAAAATAAAATTTAGTAAAATTAAATATTAAGCATATTATCCTAGTGTTTATAGTGTTAGGTTCTGCTGCATGTGATAAACATTTTTTCATTTCTTCCAAGTTCAGGGATTTTACTCCAATAATAATTAGTGAATCTTCCATGGGAAGTTAATTACCCTTCCTTAACCCTGACCAAAATGTGTGCTGTAAAATTAATTTAATTTTTTTAAGCAAGAAAAGCCTTTCCCTGTGGGATTTTCAAATTTAAAAACCTAATTAGATTCAATGTTTTTCCTTTTAGAGATTATCCACCCTTTTATATTATGAAACATTTATTGGAATTCAAACTATTCATAGCTCTTTTTTCAAGAAACTTTTAACAAATCAGTAAATTTTTTGTTTCTCTTACAAATAATATTCACCTCATGTCTATTCCACAATACTCTTCCATTTAAATATGGTTCACATTTCTCTTACAATTACAAACTAACATGTACTCTTATTGTTAAAAATTTTCACAAAGAAAATTATTCATGGTTTAAAATAAACCATTTATTGTATATCTCTTCCCTTGGCAAGTGAAACATTGCAGAACCAACCAATTTTCTCTTATTGAAAAGACTACCATGAATATAAAGTTTTAGGCAGTGTTCCTCAAACTTGCTTTAAAAAATAAAATAATCATTTGAGGTACACATATTAAAAAAAACGAATCCAGGACCTCACTCTCGGAAACTTTTATTTAATAACCTCTGTATTTATGTCCTGGGAACTTTTTTTAACAAACATTTCCAGCATTTCTTATTATTGGGAAAGTTGGGGGAACACATTGAAGTGGAAGTTGAGAACCCAGCTCTGAAATCAGAGAAGCCTGGGTTTGAATATCATTTTTATTGTAGAGAATGAGGTACAATCTGTAAAAACATAAGGTTCTTATACATTCTGTGCCCCAGTTTTTTTTAATCAGTGAAACTAGGATAATAGTTATACCTCCCACAAAAAGTTGTGAGAGTTAAGTTGAATAAAGCATTTGACAATGCTTAGCAAATGATAGTTACCTTAAATGTCTTGTCTCCTCCTTCTCCATTTCTTTCTTTGATTTCAACAGAAGCCATCTTCTCCCAACTCTCCAAAATGCTACCACAGTCTTTCACTTCACAATCAGACATAAAATTTTAAATCTGAAAATTACCCAAGTCTACCTTGGAAGAGGGAATTGATATGAGAGAGTAAAAGTTTGGCTAATACACAGGTTAGTTTTAACTTGCCCCTAAACATTCATTCTTAGGCCCAACCATGAGTTTCTTATTTATTAATTTATTCATTCAACAACTATTTCTTTGGGCTCCTACTGAGTGTTATCACTAGACTAGGCTCAGGAGTACAGTATGATGGTAAGAAAATCCAATCTGTTCCCTGTTCTCCTTGAATCACTGAGAATCCTCTTGCCTCTGTGAATTTGTTGACGTTTTTCCTATAACTTCTATTGCTAATACTTTCAATTTGGCCCCATATTTCTATGCTCTCTAAAGGCCTTGAATCTTAGAAAGTTGCTAACTTTTCACATCTGTTCTGATGGGATGAGCAGCCCCATTAGCTCCTTGACCAAGCTCTAAAGCTTAACATGAACCCCTATCACTGATGCCAGATGAAGAATGAAGCCAAGCTCACTAAACGGAGCAGAGGAGCCAGACAACCAGAACTCCACAGCAGTCTAAAATGGGTGAGAGATCTTAGCAGTCTATAAGGAATTTTGAATTTATTGAATAACTTATTTGTATAAATTCCAATGCAGAAGGATATATACATTTTTGAATGAACAAAATTATTTTTTTCTCAGAAATCCCCTACCTTGGTACATCTATTCAGCTCTATAGAAGGGGTTATGTTGGCAAAATTTAAATATCATGCAGAGTGCTATATTCATATTTTTACTTGATAAATTGAAGGAGAATACAATTTCTCATCTGTTCCCCACTATATATGCTCACCAAAATAATGCACACTTGAGAGGATGTGCAGGGACCTATTGATTTTTAGAAATACCAAATGAGGATGGCCAGTCATGAAAATAGTACGCTTATGGGGCTGAGGATTTAGCTCAGTGGCACTGGACCTACCTCACAAATGCAAGGTCCTGAGTAAGATCCCTGGTACCAAAAAAAAAAAAGTCCGCTTATGTACAGTGATCCCTCTCAATAATTTAACAGCCCTCCTTGCTCCTGAAAATGTAATTAATGCAGCATCAAAGAAGAAAAAAAAAGCAGAGGCAAGTAGTAGAAATCCCACGTTATCAGGAATACTGGGAGAATTTATACAATGCCGAATCAGAACCTCAGTAAAAAGGAGACAGCTGAAGGATAGAAATCAGTGATTTTGTAAGAAGAGTTACATCAATAGCTACTGCAGACTTTTGTTCCTCAATTCTGGCCTATTCACCCACATACATTCGGGTATCATTCTTTTTTTTTTTTTTTTTTTTTTGTTACCAGGGATCAAACTCCGGACCTTGCGCTTGCAAGGCAGGCAGGGGAACCATTGAGCTGAATCCCCGGCTCACCCACGTACAGTTGATCATAAGTAATGACTATTTATTTTAAAATAAACATCAGGAGGTTACCTTAGGGCAAATAAGAGGAATTTGGACTTGCAAGTTCTGTTAAGTAAAAAGAAGAGACACTCAAATCTGGTGACTGGGGCCGACTTCCTGTTATACCTTTCCATTCTCATCATGGTGATCTGTCTTTGAACAAGGGTCAGAAGGGAGAACTATTATAGGATAATAGTATCAGTTTCAATGAACACTTGCATTTAGGTGTGACTTAGAAAAGGCCAGTTGGCCAACCAAGACAATTCCTCATAGAACTGCTTATTGTAGTCACCATGTGTACATTTGTTACCTACTGCTATGTAACAAACTACCTAAATTTTAATGGCTTAAACATTCTCATTGTTCATGACTCTGTAAGTCAGGACTTGGATAGGGCCTACTTATCTTTGTTCCACTTAAGGTTGGCTGGAGAGATTCAACTAGAGCTGGAAGCCTCACACATGTGGTGCCTTGGTGCTGGAGGTTAGTTGGGGCTCTTTAGTCCTCACACATTTGACCTTTCTTCATGTAGTCTTTTTTCTATAGGG